GGCAAGGACTCCAAAGAGGAAATTTTGGTAGAATTGATAAGTTTAACGGCTAGTTTCTTTGAGGATACTGAGAGTGACATTGAATCACATGTTGTCCCTTAAATTGATGATCACGTATGAACACCATACAATAATATAAAAGTTAATACTGGAATAAGGAAGCTGAGGCAGAACAAACAACTATGATTAAGGGCAGACAAAGGAGGAGCAGTAGTAGTTATGACTAAGACTGATTATGTAGAGAAAATGTTAGAGGCATCAGATGATGATACAACATATAGGGCTATGATTAGGAACCCGACAGAAGGCCTTAAGGTCAGACTTAAAGGTCTTCTGCAACAATGAGTAAGCAGAAGAGAAGTGGAAAAGTGGAAAATGAACCCTCAAATCCGTATGGTCTGCATGAAATCCATAAACGAGGTACTCCGCTTCGGATTGTTGTAAATAATAGAGGTAGCGTGACGCATAAAACATCACGATATAGATGAACATAGTTAAAGCTAATCTCCGAAACTTGGAAGTTTCCAGCAAAGAACTCCTACGACTTATCAAGTTAATTGATGATCAGGCGATAGAAAGGAGAGATTTGCTGGTAACTTTCCACGTGGTATCTATGCACACTAACATTCAGATATACGAGGGAATGAAGCCTTTAGAATTAACTCTAGATCAGCAACTTGAAATCATAACAGGTAAAAAGTTAAGCAAAGTTTCAATAATTAGATTAGTCACTTGGGCAATGTATAATGCATATTTTACCTTGAATGGTAGGTTGTATGAGCAGACTCTGGGTTTGGCTATGGGATCTTGTTTAGTCTCTATTTTAGCTAACAACTACATGATTCAATTAGAAGTTCGCGTGTTTCAAGAGACACTCATAGTTCTAAAGTTATTAGCTCGCTGTATGGATGATTACTTTGCAGTTTGGCAACACGGCAAGGATAGATTGAGGGAATTCATTGAGTTAATAAATATAAGAGATGCAAACACTGATTTTAAAAGGAATATAAATTGCCATTTTTGGGTGTATTAATGAGCAAAGAAGGTAATAAGTTAGGTAGATACATTTATAGAAAACCCAGACATGAAGGTTTGTTAATTACTTTCTTCTCTAACTATACATATAAAGTCAAAAAAGGGGTTATAAAATGTATTATTATCTATTATTATTAAAAGATGGAGACCCCAGAGAGCAGTGGATTTTTAGATTGAGGGATATAGTGTTTCAAAACACCTACTAATTAGGATTAGTAGACAATTACATATCAATTGTAACTAACAAGATTAGGAGAGTTTTTTATCTGGGGCGGGTTAGGAAAGTAGACCATTCTACTCGGTTCCTCATTTTGCCTTCCTGTCAGCCTGCCAAAAAATTTGGGTGAACTACTAATGAATTGGAACATAAAAACAATGTTTAAGAAGAAATTAGCACTTTCATCATTAGTTCCTTCGTTTGGAGAATATTGGGACCCTCTTCTTATATCAGACCGTTACAAGGTTTTGTGTGCACTATGGTAAAATATATGCGGGTTGAACTTGCCGACCCTTTAATAAGAGACAATGTGAACACAAAACCTCTTGTAAATGTCTGTGAGTCCAAAAATCTGAGCTCGCTGAAAGCATGGCCAATACAGGACACCCAATAGACTGGTCCATAACACAACGTTTTGCCGGTCACGTGGACTTCACATCAAAGCGTAAGATAAAGGAGTCCGGAGAAATTAACAAAACAACCAACGTCCTGAATAGAAGGAACGGGTGTTGAAAACTATGTAGGAACTTTTTATGGCTTTTTGATAGACTTAAGGGAGAGGGGTTGCAGGAAGAGCCACTGAGTAAGAGAAAGAGGCTAAATAAGCCTCGAGTCAGCTATGACCATCACACTTCCCATGACATTACATGCACACAATAGACATTAGAACAAGCCCAAACACGATTCAGCATTAGGCGATCGTAGGCTAGTTTTTGTGTGATGAAACAGCTTCCACCGGACGTATTTCCGGTTTGGGAAGTTAACTTCACTCATTTTCAAGTAACCATGTAGAAAAGGTTTGAAGTAGTCAATCAAATCAGAAGAGGCCTCATTAAGCTTGCGATGTAAGGTGCATAAAAAAGCGACTAGGTTTGCAGCCGGATACATTTTCTCTTGGTTTAGTTTATTTTTGCTCTTTCGTAAAGTATGGAGTCTTGCTCTGATGATGTCTGTCACGGGAGTAGAGACGAAAGCTTAGCAAAGATTCATCGGCGTCGCAGGATGGTGAGCCGAGGACTTCTTCTAACAATTTAGTATTCTTCCAAACCAGGCAATCCTCCTTTGGTTTTCCAATCAACTTTTCCTTCAAAATGGAAAGTCATGTCACAATATATCACTAAGGAATTCTTCTAAACTCAATTTTTCTCTCTAACAATATAAGTCTTTTGATTTGACCTTGTCGGAGTATTAAGGTGACCTTGTGGAATTTACTTAATCCTGTATCTTCTGCCACAGTATCGGACCATTTTTTGGTACATTCCCAAACCTTTAGCTGGCATCATTGTCGGTATCGTAATTGAGAGACCTTCACTTTTCACTTTGATAAATTGTAACCCTGTGCAGACGATAGGACCTCTTACTGTTGATGTCGGCGAAACGTTTGGAAATGTACCAAGCCAATGGTCCGATACTGGTTTCCCTGACGGTCCGACCAATTTGCTAAAACGAGCTTGAACCGACGCTAGAAAGCTAAGGGAGATTGCGACAAAATATAAGGCAACACTATCTTGGTCTTCATATCTACGCGTATGTTTGTTTGTTATTCCGCAAATTTAGTTTTTATGCTATCCGTCATCTCGAGATTTGATCTATATAGAATTATTTTGACCTCATTTTCACTACTTTATCGTGGTGTCGGGGCAACCTCGAAAAGTGTAACCGGTTCACTCAATATGGTTAATCCAATATCATCGTCTGCTCGTTCACTCGAAAATATGGCAAGCAGGACATGAGAAGAGCTTCAGTTGCCCTCGAAAATACTCTGCGACCAAATTAAAGGTCATATTATTTTCCTCTTCATCCGTCGTCTTGACCAGTTGTGACTCGGTGCTAAGGCGGCCGTGTCAGCTGACTAGGCTGGCAACTGAATTGTCTCGGTGGGCATTCGGTCTCTGGTCCGAGGCTGACAGAGGATGCAGTATTGAAGGTAGGAAAGAGAACAGCTCCGATTTACGGTCCATACGGTGTCAAGTTGAGTCGGCTTTTTATTCCTATTTCCAATTGTTGGTTAGTCTGGAAGTTCGATAGAGAGCAGCAGAGCGAGCCGCCGACGAGGTGGGGATTTCTCGTGGCACTTTGAAGCAACCCATGGGGCAGAGATGGAGGCGAGGTACCCGACAAAGAGGTAGGAATCGATGCCGATGAGGCATTGCCATTTCGGGGTACATGTGGCTGTAATGGCCGGGTCAGAGTCGCCCACCGGATGGCTGTCTGGCTTCCCTACCCGGTAGGAAGAGGAGACAAGGCCAGAGGATGTCGACATGCCGGCCTCTGGGCGGCCAGGGCCCATGGCCAGGTGGCCAAGGGGAATTTGCTGACACGACGGCTGTCTTCTCAGCAGAGGCCAGCCACAAATGTGCTGCTCTCTGATTGGTGGAGCCGTTTGTCAATCAGCCAATCACAAAGTTGCTTGGCTTACTGCCTCCTGATTGGTCGGTGGCCGGGTTTATATGCCCAGGCCAGGCTTTGTTGTTGATCCTTCTGTTGTATGATTTGGGCCCATGCTGAGCGTGTCAACAAGGCACGGTGACCGCAAAGTCGCCTCCAAGTGGCGGATTAAGCCGTGATGTGAAGTAATGCCTTGTCTATCAGTTGGACTGGTCGGTCTGATGCGGCTCGTCTTGCTCGGGGCCCTCCTGATGGCCCCGGATCCCGGACATGTGGTCGCCGTGGCGACTGGCAGGAGCTGTACATGTCACCTCGTGCTCCCGACCAACGGTTCCTTGGTCGGTCAGGTCGCATGTCGTGGCGGCCGGTCGACCGAACAGAGTCCCGCCCACCTGCTGGTCGCCTGCAGCCAGATCGGCGGCCTGCTACAGATCGGGCCGTTGCCTTCGCCGTCACCGTTGTCATCATCGTCGTTGTTGCCTTCGCGACTAGAACTACAACCATTCGGATTGGTCGGTCTGGCGGGCGGAGGCGAGAGGCCGCCGGAGGCTGAGTTGCGACGGGTCAATCTGAATCTGCGAGCCTCGGAAGCGGATGGACTCGGTCCGGTGTCTGTGGACGCCAGATCGTTGGCCGGCCTCGAAGGGATTCGTGATTTGGTTGCGTGGCGAGGCGGCGTCGAGTTGGACGCCTGCAGTCTGGTCGACTTGGCCAGACTGCGCTCCGTCACGCTTGACTGCGCCAGTCTGGCCGGCCAGCGTGGCCGTCGGCTCACTCTGGCCGGTGACTTCGCCTTCCTCCTCTTCACCGGTTGCCTGGGCCTTCGGATACAGTACTTCTGTACCCGATGCAGCCAGGCGCCCCACCTCTTTGTGGTTCACACTGAGCCCGGACCCCCTTTGGCCACGCACACTCTGCGTCTCCGTCGCGACCATTCGCCTCCCGGCAACGACTCGTCGCCCCTCGGATCCACAAACGCCTCGGCTCCGAGTCCCGCCTCCATCCGCCTCGGCGTCTGCCGCAGCCGGCCCTGCCGTGAGGATTGGCTCTGCCGCGACAATCCCGCGCTCGAGGAGACGCGCGACTTTTGGCGCAGACGACTTGGCGCTACACCCACCAACCTCGCTCTCGAACCAACGCCGATGCCAACCACAGACGACTCGGATTCGGCAGCCCTCCAACTCCCTCCTCTCGACCACTCCGCCTCCACTTCGCCTCCAGCCTCCACTTGGAGCCAGTCGGGCGAAAGCAATTCTTTCTCTTCTTCGTCTTCGTCGTTCTCTTCGCCTTCAACCTGGCACACATTAGCCTCCTCATCACCCACTTCGCCTTCGCCGTCTTCATCTTCATCTTCTTCGCCGTCATCGTCTTCTTCTCCTCCAGACTGGCACGAAGTGGCCTCCTCTTCAACTTCATCCTATTCGCCGTCGTTGTCTTCCTCTCCTCCCTCAGACTGGCACGAAGTGACCTCCTCTTCATCTTCATCTTCTTCTTCGCCGTCG